CACAGAGAGTGTTCGAGTTTTTTGGCCACTGCTGCAGCAGCCATATACGTAGACATTGAAGCCCAAGAGGCATGTCTAGGTGAAGTCAAAAGTGGTTCAGATAACCAGTTTCCCACTTGTGTACCTTGTCTATCCTGGACACAACGAAGGGCTTCTTGACAAACGCGATCCTGGCGTCAGTGTTCAGGGCGAGGAACTCCTGCACCTCCTCACTGTTTGCAATCTCAGGGACCGCACACAATTGCTGCGAGGAAAGATGTAGCTTTAGGTCTTTTTTGAGGCAATTTCCCAGCTTGACCATGCAGGTGGAAGAGATCTGGTGTGCTCCACCGCCTGTCAGTACAGAGCTATCCTGAGCACTGCTTTCTAGCTCACAGGGGCACACAAGCAAGTATCTCACCTTCAAGAAAGATTCTAGCAGACTTTTTCTGGCTTCCACTTTATCGCTGTCCATGTTTCCAAATGGGAGATCAGGGAACAGTTTCTTTGGGCCTTTGATATCTACAAAGGAAACAAACCCACCAGCAAGCTCGAGAAAACTGGAACAGTTGTTTTAAAATCTTAATGCTCTCATGCTTTGGGCTACCACTACACGCTGCCCAGCATCAGCCCAAGATAACACGCCACTCAAACCAGGGTGGCTGAACCAGACCTTAAGTCCATACAGAACTTGCGTTCTGCTGGATTTCGTTATCATCCGTGCCTGTGAAGTTAAAAGAAGCAAGAACACCAGTTTAGCACAAGGACTCTAGATCACTCAAAGAGCCCCAAAATTCTCAACAAAGCAGCTTTCCAGCCAAACCCCCAGATCTGTCAGAACCAAAGGATTACCTAGGAACATGCTAAATTCAATGAAGCTTTATACATAAGTAGTATTAAAAGAAACATTGTTTTCTTTTTAAAAAAAGCTTACGTTCAACAGATACTACTCTACTTCCTCATAAGCAAACAAGATGCTTGCAGATACCAGTGTTTCTATTCATTGCTAAGGTGCAAAACTACAAAAGCAAGTGTTGTGATCTGAACGGCAACAAGGATGTTTTGAAACACTGGAATTTGCCGCCAGAAGAAATAAATTTCTCCTCTAGCCAGCTCTGCACAGAACAAGGACGTGGGCATCACAAACAGCCCAGCATCCAGAGCTGCACAGGCGGGGCAGGATACCCTCAGAGCAGAGGAGCACGGACTGGGGTGAGTGGGAGAAGAATTTTCTCAGGAAGCTAATGCAGGCACTGACTTTTCAGGAACTTGCGGAGCTCCGGTTTCTCCTCCAGTCTGGTCTGGAGGTTGAGGAACTCCCGGTAACGGCGGTTCACGGTGTGGTAAGCCATTTGCTGCAGGCTGCCCGCGCTCTCGCTCTCCAGGGCTGTCTCATACTGAGGAGGAAGGCAACAGTCAATAATCCTTACAGACCCCAAACCAATCCTGATGCGCTGCGATCCCTGCTGGCCCCACAATCCCCAGACCCCACGGAGGTCCCATCCAGCAATTCCTCAGACAGACCCTTCCCGGAAAAACGGCAGCTGCAGTGCACGTGAACCCCTCACGATGAAGGAGCCGGTGAAAACAGGATACAAAAGACTCGACCAGCCCCACACGACCCTTGGCCAAGAATGAGAACGACTATCCCGCACCCGAATGGCCACTGGAAAAGCCACTGTGCCCGATATTCTCCCACTGCCAGACAAAATTTGTTGTCGAGCCACACACAGAGCAAGTCCTCATCTCCAAACACCACACGTGCTCCCCTGCCAGGGCAGGGATCTCGGAAAAGGGGTGACAGCCAGGGAAGCCTTTACCTTGACGGTGTACAGGGTGTAGGGGTGGAAGCCAGTCCCACTGTGCTCTCGGGCGGTGATGGTCCCAGTTATCCGCAGGTTCTGGATGACAACCGGCCCATCGGGGCTGCTGAGGGGCTCAAAGCTGAAGGTGCTGATGGAAGCCGTTGGGGAGGATGAGAGCAGGGGCAGAGTTTGCCCGGGGTCTGGGGGGCTTTGTTGTGGGCCCTCTGCTGCCCCCAGATCTTTCCCCAAGCTGCAGGGCCTCTGTGAAGAGGACTTTTTGAGGACAGCCAGGCTTTCCCCTTCCTTCTCAACTGCCAGGTCAATCTGGATGTCAGGGCAGGAGCTCAGTGCAAAAGCAGAGGTGGGGAGCAGGCCAGCATCCGAGCTGGTGGCAATGCCCTCCTCCAGGTCCCCCACGCCATCCTCCAAAGCGGCCGGTCCCTCCAGCACGGTGGAGGTGTCCTGGAGGGGTTCATCGAGGAACTCCCCGGCGGGTGACGGTGCCAGCAGGTCCGTGTCCTGGCCCGCATCAGGCGCGGGGGACTCCAGCTCCAAACCCTCGCAGGGGAAGAGGGAGCCCAGGGCTCGCGGGCGGAGAAATGGCTCCTCTGTGTGGCACAGCCCGCTTGCCGGGTCCTCTCCCTCCTCGCCAGCAGCCCCTGCCTCTCGCCCAGGCATCTCCATGGCCCTCGGGGAGGGCGGCAGCCTGGCAGGGGCAGCGTCCGTCTGCACTGTGAAGGGCAAGGAAACAGGCACTGGGAGTGCAGGGGGTGGCTCCTCACCCCAGGGCTTCTTGGAGAAAGCCCCAATGAGCAGCAGGTTGATCCAGTCAGGATCGGCCATCTTCCTGATGGCCGGCAGCAGGACATTGCAGGCGACCAGCTCCACCACCACGAAGCGTCCCGTCCGCGTCTCCAGGTGGGGCCGGGGCACCAGCACCCGCAGCAGCGTCTCCACAGCAGCCCGGGCGTAGCCCACCTCAGCTGCCGGGCTGCAGAGGGCAGGGTGCGGCCCTGCCAGCCGGCTGTACTCCTGCCACAGGGTCCGGCCGCCCTCTGGATTGCCCCTCAGGGCCTCACGGGCCTGCAGGTAGCTCTCCAAGTGATGGCCGCAGAGGAGGAGGAGGCGGCGGGCCAGGGCTTGACGGTCCACTTGCCCCATCCGCCGCCTCAGCTCTGCGGCCAGGCCCGTCATGGCCTTCTCCACCTCGGCCTCGAAGGCCGGCTCGCTGCTGACGGTGCGGTACCAGGAGGCAACGAAGTCCCGCACCACTTTGCGGACGGTGCCGGCAATCTCTCTCTCCAGCCACCCCTCGGCTGCCGGGCAGTGAGGCGGGGGTCGCAGGGAGCTGACAAAACGCTCCAGCCGGAG